GTCTTTCTGCTGGATAATTTGAGTGAGTTTCTCAACCTCATCTTTAGACAGCTGATCGATCTGTTTGGTTAAAGATACATTCTTTGAATTACAAAGTTGAATCTCAAGTATTCGTTCTTTGATTCTTTTCACAAATTTTTCCATTTTGGCTTTACATATGGCATGGTTTTCACTCCCATTTTCTATATTAAGGCTTTTCACTTTTGTTTCTGGAAAACTATCAGCATTCTCTGTTTGAATGTCATGTCTCTCTTCATGCCCCTGGGCTTTTATTTGTTCCATGGTTTTCTGCAAATTCTTAATTTCCTTGTCTTTTTTAAAAATCAGTTGGGTATGTGCAGCCTTCATCTGCTCATACTGGTATTTAAATTTATCCATTTCCTCCTTCTACTCCTGTAGAGACTGAAGTAGTTGCATTTGACTCTGGTTTTGATCTTCAATGACCTTTTGATGATGTGTAACTTCCTCTTCCAGATGATTCTTGATGACATTCAGTTGAGATACCTCAGATTCTAGTTCTGTGATACTATCGAGGGTTTGAGGCTCAGCCACAGCTCCAACTCGATTCCGCTGTTCCCTAAGTCTTTCCAATTCTTCTTGCAGATGTTTGTTTTCTTCTTTCGTGGAGCTAAGACTTCTGTCTTTTGCCTCTATGGTCTGCCTTAAAGTTTCATTTTGTTTTAAGGCCTGAGAACACTTATCTAAATCCTTTTGCAGTTCTGAACTTTCTTGTTTGAGTTGGCCAATAAAAACTTCTTTCTCATTTATAAGTTGCATCAATTGCTTCTGTTCTTCTAAACAAGATGTCAATATTTCCTTAGTTTCTTTTTGATCAGTAACCATTTGCTCAATATTCTTCTTGAGTCCTGTTATTTCAAAGTCTTTCTCTTGACTGAGTTGCACTACACGCTCCTGTTCCAGCTGTAAGACAGAGGTATTCCAATTACATACATTTGAGAGTTCCTGAATAGTCTGCCTGTAATTGTTTGCCTCTTCCAACAGTCTCTTTTTGGCCTGACACAGTTCTACTTGTATCTGTTCTTTCTCTCTTTTCAGCGTCTCCATAATAGTGTCTTTTTCTAGAGAAATTTGGTTGTTACCAGCAATAGATTCTTCCAACTGATGCCTTACATCTTCACATGCTGAAATCAACTTGTCATTTTCCGTTTTCAGATCAAAAGCAACTTTCTTTAAATTTTCATTGAGCTGTTATACTTCTGCAAGATTTTGCTTCAAGTTTGTAATTTCGACTTCCCCTTCTTTTAAGCAAGTCATCCTTAAAATGAGAGTCTTCATTAATAGCATGTCTTAACTCGTTCCGAACTCTACATATCCTCTTCCTTTTGGCTAATGTATTCCTTAAGTTCCAGGTTTTCCTGCTGGATGTTTAAACTACTTTTTTGTGACTGACTTAGCTGATTTACTAAATCTTCGACTTTATCTTCAAGCTTCTGCTTGGTTAAATGCAAATCACGGAGGCTCAGTGCACTCTCAGTTAACTTTTCTTTCTCTACATGCAACTCTTTAGTTATGTCCATTTTATCCTCCTCAAATTGATGAACTCTCTCTTTTTTGTCATCTAGATCTTGTTTCAATTTCGTGATTAGACCATCTCCTTCATTTTGCTGTTTTGATAGCTCATCTATTATCCAATTCATGTGCTTTGTGGCTTCCCGGTGTTCATTGTACAGATATTCTAACTGAGCTATCAGCATTTCCTTTTCGTTAATACTCTCATACAGCTCTTGCTCCTTAGCCTCCAAGTTCAGTGTTAAGTCTTGTATTTGTGCATTCAAATACATGTCTGTTGAAGCCATACTTTTAATGACTTCATATTCCCAGCTCAGTTTGCAAAGTGATATCTGAAGTTCTTTCTTTTCTTGACTCAATAATGACTTCTCTTTTTCTAAAACTTGCACATGTATTTGAAGTTTCTGATTGTCTTCAGCAAGGCTGGTATCCTGTCTTAAACTACTCAGTCTCATTCTTTCATTTTCAGCATCAGACAGGGCTTGTTGGAGTCTGAACACTTCTCCCACTGATGAACTCTGTGGAGAAATTGTTCCCTTTTCTGCAGCAGGATCACTCTGCTCCATCACAGAGGGCTGCAATTTACTACATTCCACTTTCAAGGTTTCACACTCTTCAATTATTTGTCTCTTTTCCACACTGAGCTGCTCCTTTTCTCTCTTCAGGACATCTCTGTCGTGTTCTGCAGAAGATAATTTTTTATTTATGACTTTGATTGTATCCTCAAGTTCTTTGATTCTTCTTGTGGACTCTAGTTTTTCAGTTTGTAGAACCTGAATAGTGTTTTGCATCTCCCAGACTTGAGACTCATCAGTGACTGTAACTCCTGAGTCACCTTGGTGTAACAGCTTTTCAAGTTCTGCGATCCGTCCTTCATAGTCATTTGACTCCTGTTGATGCTGGTGATTTAACTCTGCCAGTTTCTGTTGATGTGCATTCTGCAAAATGGACATTTCATGTTGGTGATGATCCATGTCCTGACTTCGGTTTTGTTCCAGTACCTTAATTGTATGGTGTAGTTTGCTGATTTCACTTTGATCTGACTCATTTGTTCCTTGTGCCTGCGTGTTACGCCTCCAATGGCCAACTTCACATTCAAGTCTTGAAACTTCATTTTTCAATCTGTTTATTTCCTGTTGTGATGAAATTATGTAACTAAAGTCCTTGGCATCGTCATGGAAAGGTGACAAATACTGGCTGAGTCCATAACCGAATGAATGAGGTGCGCTGGTTGCTGGTACACCACTGGCTTCTGAAGGTACTGATTGAGCAGCTGACTGCAGGCTCAACATCTGCTCCTGTAGTGCCATCTGGCTTGCTTGAAGATGGCTGATGTCTACCTGTTTCTGTTGCAGCTGGTTTTGGTAACTTGTAGATTGAAGGTTTATTTGAATCTGTGATGCTTCATCTTTTTTTTCCAGATCAGTACAATACTTTTTAAGTCTTGTATTCTCTGATCTCAACCTTGATTCTGTGGCTTCAATTTTCTTTCTTCAACAACGAAGTGAACTGTCTTCCACAGCTTTGGAGACCTCCACAGGCATATCTATGATGCAGCTGGAGACTTGGCCAGTGGGGGAAGCCAAGCTGCCTCCCACCTGACCCAAGAACTGGCCCAAGCTGAAGGCTAGACCTCTAAACCACGAAAACATTGCTAGAGCTTCAGAGAGCCCTCAGCTGTGCTCCAAAAACCGCTCTATGACCATCCACCTTCCAGCTGAATGTCCTGGAGCGTTGCAGGGGTCAATTATGACCAAAGCATTCAGAATTCCGGGGAGTGCAGGGTTCCTGCCCCCTTGGCACTCTGCCTTAAAGGTAGAGGCCTGGCCTGGACTTTGACTAGAAACTTGCCACCAGGGTCTCAGTCCCCCCTGCGGGGCCTCTGCTCCCTCCCTGGACTTTCAGCCCTCTGATTGGGTGACTTCTCCCTCAGAGTTAGTGACTCCCCCAGCTCCAGCTGGTCCTGCCACCTCCATGCTGGCCGCCAGAACATCCCCATCGGAGACACTTTACCCTTTCTTGGAGGCCTGAAGTTGAAGTTCTGTCCTCAAGGACTCAAGTTTTCTATGAAATCTAATCTGTTGGTGATGTTTTTTTTTTGTTTTTTAATATATGACTGCGGAATGCATTACAATTCTTATTATACACATACAGCACAATTTTCTACATCTCTGGTTTTATACAAAGTTTTTGCACATACATGTACTTTGTA